GTATGTATATTTTTCACCAAAAAAAAAAGGTCCTCAAGGTCAAGAAGGGAGAGTGTTGACATGTCGTGGGGTTGTTAACCAATGTCATAAAACAGTAGGTGTACTGACTGTTTAATGAGAAACTATTTGTTCTGTAAGCCATCTAAAGTACAATAAAAAAATTTTTTAAAAATTAAGTCATTAAAACAAAGCCCTTGGGCATCTGAAGAAAGGAAGTAATGAGAATTAGAGCACAGTTAAATGAAATAGAGAACAGAAAAACAAAAGATTTAACAAGACCAAAAGCTGATTCTTTCAAAAGATCAAAAAAATTGATAAACCACTGGCCAAACTCACAACAGAAAAACAGGAGAGGAAGCAGATAACCCATATAAGAAATGAGATGGGTGATATTACAACAGACGTGACTGAAATTAAAAGAATCATAACAGAATACTATGAAAAATTGTAGTCTAAAAAATTTGAAAATCTAGAAGAAATGGACAAATTTCTAGAAACTTACTACCTACCTAAACTAACACAAACAGAAGTAGAACAACTAAATAAACCTGTAGCAAAAGAAGAGATTGAAAAGGTAATTAAAAAACTCCCAACAAAAAAAACCCTGGCCCAGATAGCTTCACTGGAGAATTCTACAAAACTTTCAGAGAAGAGTTAACTCCACTACTACTAAGGTATTTGAGAGCATAGCAAAGGATGGAATACTCCCAAACTCATTCTATGAAGCCATCATAACCCTGATACCAAAACCAGGCAAAGACACCACAAAAAAAGAAAATAACAGACCAAATTCCCTCAGGAACATTGATGAAAAAATTCACAACAAAATTCTAGCCAATAGAATTCAGCAACATATCAAAAAAATAATTCATCATGATCGAGTGGGATTTATACCAGGTATGCAAGGATGGTTCAACATTAGGAAAACAATCAATGTAATCCATCACATAAATAAAACAGAAGACTAGAACCACATGATCTTATCGATCGATGCAGAAAAGGCATTTGACAAGTCCAACACCCATTCATGATAAAAACTTTCAACAAAATAGGAATAGAAGATAAATTCTGCAGTATGATTAAGGGCACTTATACAAAGCCAACGGCCAACATCATCCTAAATGGAGAGACTTTGAAAGTATTCCCCTTGAGAATGGGAACCAGACAAGGATGCCCTTTATCACCACTCTTATTCAACATCGTGTTGGAGGACCTAGCCAGAGCAATTAGGCTAGACAAAGAAATAAAGCATCCAAATTGGTAGGGAAGAACTCTATCTCTATTTGCAGATGATATGATCTTATACACAGAAAATCCCAAAGAATCCAGAAGAAAACTACTGGAACTAATGGAAGATTTCAGCAAAGTTTCAGGATACAAATAAGCATACAAAAATCAGTTGGAATCCTTTACACCAACAAAGAGAACCTCAAAGAGGAAATCACCAAATCAATACCATTTACAATACCACCCAAGAATATAAAATACTTAGGAATAAATCTAACCAGCGACATAAAAGACCTATACTATCAAAACTACAAAACACTACTGCAGGAAACCAAAAGAGACCTGCATAAGTGGAAAAACATACCTTGCTCATGGATAAGTAGACTCAACAGTGTGAAAATGTCAGTTCTACCCAAAGCAATCTACAGATACAATGCAATCCCGATCTAAATTCCACCGGCATTTTTTAATGAGATGGAGAAACAAATCACCAGCTTCATATAGAAAGGGAAGAGGCCCCGAATAAGTAAAGCATTACTCAAGAAGAAGAACAAAGTGGGAGGCTTCACACTACCTGCTTTTAGAACCTATTATACCACCACAGTAGTCAAAACAGCCTGGTACTGGTACAACAACAGATACGTAGACCAATGGAACAGGAATTGAGAATCCAGACAAATTCATCCACCTATGAGCAACTGATATTTGACAAAGGCCCAAAGTCCATTATTTGGAGAAAAGACAGTCTCTTTAACAAATGGCATAACTGGATATCCATCTGCAAAAAACTGAAACAAGACCCATACCTCACACCATGAACAAAAACGAACTCAAAATGTATCAAAGAGTTAAATATATAATAGAAAATGATAAAGATCCTGGGAGAAAAAATAGGGACAACGCTAGGTGCCCTAATACATGGCATAAACACAATAGAAACCATAAGTAACAATGCACAAGCACCAGAAAGAGACTAGATAAATGGGAGCTCCTAAAAATCAAACACGCTCACCAAAGGACTTCACCAAAAGACAACCTACAGACCTGGAAAAAATTTTTGGCTATGACAAATCCAATCAGCGTCTAATCTCTAAAATCTGCAAGATATTGCAAAATCTGAAAAAGAGACCAATAACCCAATTAAACAATGGGCAGAGGATATGAACAGGCACTTCGCCAAAGAAGACATTCGGGCAGCTAACAGACATGTGAAGAAGCGCTCACAATCATTAGCCATTAAAGAAATGCAAATCAAAACTACAATGAGATACCATCTCACCCCAACAAGGCTAGCATTAATCCAAAAAATACAAAATAATATATGTTGGAGAGGTTGTGGAGAGACTGGAAGGAACACTTATACACTGTTGGTGGGAATGTAAAATGGTACAACCACTTTGGAAACTGATTTGGAGCTTCCTTAAAAAGCTAGAAATAGAAGTACCATACGATCCAGTAATCCCATTCCTTGGAATATATCCTACAGAAATAAGAGCCGTCACACAGATAGATATATGCACACCCATGTTCATTGCAGCACTGTTCACAATAGCAAAAAGCTGGAAACAACTGAGGTGCCCATCAGCAATCAGAAATCCAGATAAATTGTGGTATAGTCACGAAATTGAATACTATGCAACAAAAAAGAACAATGATGAAGCCGTGAAACATAACATGGAGGAATCTGGAAGGCATTATGCCAAGTGAATTCATTCAGTTACAAAAGTACAAATATTGTATAAGACCACTATTTTAAGAACTCAAGAAAAGGTTTAAACACAGAAGAAAACGTTCTTTGATGGTTACTAGGGTGGAGAGGGAGGGAAAGCGTTATTCACTAACTAGATAGTAGACAAGAATTAGGTGAAGGGAAGGACATCACACACTACAGGGGAAGTCTGCATAACTGGACTAAACCAAAGCTAAGAAGTTTCCTGAGTACAATCAAACACTTCGAGGGACAGAGTAGCAGGGGCAGAGGTCTAGGGAACATGCTTTCAGGGCACATCTAGGTCAACTGGCATAACAAATTTTATTAAGAAAATGTTCTGCATCCTACTTTGGTGAGTAGCATCTGGGGTCTTAAAAGCTAGCGAGTGGCCATCTAAGATGCATCAATTGGTCCCAAACCACCTGGAATAAAGGAGAATAAAGAACACCAAGGTCACAAGGAGAGCATTCGCCCACGAGAGAGGGCCACGTAAACCGGAGATTGCATTAGCCTGAGACCAGAAGAACTAGATGGTGCCTGGCTACCACCAATGACCACCCTGACAGGGAACACAACAGAGAGTCCCTTTTGGAGCATGAGAAGAGTGGGGTGCAGAACTCAAATTCATGTAAAAAGACCAGACTTAATGGTCTGATGGAGACTGGAGGAACCCCAGAAAGGTGGCCCCCAGACTCTCTGTCAACCCTGCACTAAAACCATTCCTGAGGCCAACTCTTCAGTCAAAGATTAGACTGGACTATGGGATATAAAATGAAACTCGTGAACAGTGTGCTTCTTAGCACAAGTAGATAGATGAGACTAAATGGGCAGCTCCTTTCCAGCAGCGAGATGAGAATGCAGAGGGTCAGGAGCTGGTTGAATGGACACGGGAAATCGGGTGCAAAAGAGGAATGTGCTGTCATAGAGCAATTAGGGTCACATAACAATGTGTGTATACATTTTTGTATGAGAGACTAACTTGAATTGTAAACTTTCACTTAAAGTACAATTAAATAAAAAACATTTGGCAAGATCAGACAAGAAAAAAAGATTAGACACAGATAATATTAAGAATGAACAAAGGAGGAACTAAGAAAACAATAGAGATTTTAAAATATCAAGATAATGAGCAACTTGATACCAATAAATTTGAAAATAAAAAATGAACAATTTTCTAGAAAAAATATTTTAAAAACTCTTAGGTAAAACAGTAGAAGAAAACAGGTGAATGTCTTCATGTTCTTGGGGTAGACAAAGGTTTCTTAAACAACACAAAAAACAAACCATAAAAAAAAATCGCTAAGATAGACTACATTACAATTAACTTGTTTATCAAAAGTCACCATTAAAAGAGCAAAAAATGAAGCCATAGAGTGGGAGAAGATCATTAAAATATACATATCCAGGATTTATAAAGAAGTATATAGTAAGAGGAGCCCTCGTGGCACAGTGGTTAAGAGCTCAGGCTGCTAACCAAAAGGTCAGCAGTTCAAATCCACCAGCCACTCGTTGGAAACCCTATGAGGCAGTTCTGCTCTGTCTTTCTGGGTCGCTATAAGTTGGAATCAACTCAATGGCAATGGGTTTTTATAATAAGAGGAGCCCTGGTGGTGCAATGGTTAAGTACTCAGCTGCTAACCAAAGGTCAGCAGGGAACCCACCAGCTGCTCTGCAGGAGAAATTTGTGCCAGTCTGCTTCCATAAAGATTTACAGCTTTGGAAACCCTATGGGGCAGTTCTACTCTATCCTATAGGGTCACTATGAGTCGGAATCTATTCGACGGCAATGAGTTGGTTCTTGGTTTATAATAAGAGAAGAAAAGGCAACATAATAGGAAAATCGGCAAGAATCATATAGACATTTCACAGAAGTGAACAGGACGTTTTACTTTTTCACAGCTCTAAAGTTCCAGATCAAAACAAGGAGCTCGCAGCTCCATTTTTGTTTTTAAAAGGTGGGATAGAATTCAGGGAGAGATGGAAAGAATAGGTATTCAAGCAGATAATTCTAAAATGTTCTTTAAAATTGTGTTATTTTTCAAAGTTTTAGTATTCTACTCACCACCACTGCACAGAGGTTGTATTTAGGATGTTTCTGAAAAATTGGACAAATGTAAGGAGTGAGGTCCAAGTTGATGAGTGGGTAATGAATATCTGTTCTCAGTTTCCTTTTCATTGTACGCTGAATGTCAAACCTGGGGGGATAAGCATGTGAAATATAAAATAAGTTTGTGAACCACTCATGAATGAAGTCCACAAACCCTGACAAATTCTAAATACAGTTAAGAGTAATATCTTGGAAAGATTATTTGGTGCAGACCTGTACAAAAACTTTTTTTTCTTGTGTCAGTATACTTAGAAATGCTACATCCAAGTGCCTTACCAAAACTGAGACTGGGCCAGGAGCTTGAATCAGGGAGAGAGACAGTGTAGATTCAAGCTAAGCTGGTAGCTGGGCAGTGGGAAAAAGAGAAAGGGCTAACGAAGACAAAACAAGGGGGAAGTGGAAACCACACTGATAACTCCATGAGGCCTTCAAACTGGCTCCACTTTTTTCCTCATCTTGATTTCTGCACGTTTTCTTGGCGGTGTCCCATTTTCAAGCTCTGGGGTTTTAATATAATGTTTTAATAAGATAAAATTTTGTAAGGCAGGGCCTAGATGCAAGAGTAGTCAGACAGCTTCCTATGTCCCTCTTACAACAAAGACCTAAAAAACAAGTGATTTGACTGTATATGAATATCTAGGGGCCCTGAGGAATCGGACTGAGTGGCGGGGGGAGAGAGATCGTTCAGAAGCAGCAAGGAGTTGCCTGACCTGGCCCAGCGGTAGCCACAGTCTTTCAGCCCAGACTGGCTCAGTTTGTACAGGGAGGCGGGCATACAGCTCCGCTCGCTCATTCCGGAGGCAGTTTCCACTTCGAGAGAAATCTGGCAGCAGAGATTCTGCTTGGACACTCTGAACCAGTGAAAAGCAGCACCCAACTGGCTAAAGATAAGTACTTGTGCGTGGCCCTTTGCAGGGATTTAAAAAAAAAACAAAAAAACCTATTTGGGAAATAACTCTTTCCCATTTACTTCCTCCCTCCTGCTCGGCACCGTGGGCCAGGGGTAGATCCCATCAGGCGTCCTGACCCATTCTCCTGGCCTTGGAGAGGGAACAAATTAACAAACAGAGAAAAAATAAGCTACTGGCTCCCGTAAGCCAGAAACTCAGGGTTGGCACAGCTCCTTTGCCTAGGCACAGGCGTAAGGGGTCTGCAGACCTGGAGTGCCTTCCACCCCTGTATAGACTTGTGTGGACCCATCTGAACAACATAAGCCCCCACTACCACAGCACAACAGGGTAAACACCTGAAGTCTAACTTGAGCTGTGAAGTGGCAGATTCGTGATGTTTTGACACTGCTCTGCCCTTTAAGCAGGTGACTTACCTGTCTGCATCAGGGGCTTCAAGACTGCTGGCTCCACCCACACCAACTAGCCACCTGCTACAGGGGTCCAAGAATAAGTGGTACCCCCTAGTCCTTATAGCCAACAGAGGGTGCTCATAGTCTGGCTGCAAAACTCACCTACCCACTTGCTCTAGGGAATAGGGACACACTTTCAGATACTCAGGGCAGCCGTCAGCCCCCTGCCTTGCTCAGCATGTGACCCCCTACTGCAGCCAGATACCTGTGCCTACACCAATCACCCATGCCTCTCTAAGACTGTAGGTGAGAGCCTGCACCACACACTTGGTGGGTGACTGCCTGGACACCTGAGCTGAATTCATTTAATTTAGTGGACTCCTGGGCACACAACTTAGTTACAGACCTAACTACCTGGTGACAGGACATTAGAGCTTCAAAGATGCCAATAATCAAACTAGCACACATGAACAGACTATTTGGGTATATCAAAACAAAAGAAGAAGCTAGGACAAACTAAACAACTATAAAATAAAATTATAATAACTTATTAATGGCTCAGAGACAACAGTCAATATCAAATCACATAAAGAGGCAGTCCATGATGGCTTCAGCAAGCTCCCAAAACAAAAGAATCAATAAATTTTCTGGAGGAAGAGAATTTCTTGGAATTACCTGAGGCAGAATACAAAAGATTAATATACAGAAATCTTCTAGAAATTAGGAAATTCTTCAGAATGCAAAGAATGCCAAAGCGTACAGACAAAGCAGTAGCGGAACTTAAAAAAGAGCATAATGACAAATTTGATAGGCTGCAAGAATCCATAGAGAGACAGCAATCAGAAATCCAGAAGATTAACAGTAAAATTTCAAAATTTACTAAATAGAAAGTCATAGGAGCAGAACTGAGGCAGTAGAAGTCAAAATTAGTGACATTGAAGATAAAGCACTTGACACTTATTAGAGGAAAAATCAGATAAAAGAATTTAAAAGAATGAAGAAACTCTAAGTTATGTCGGACTCTATCAAGAGAAATAACCTATGAGTGATTGGAGTACCAGAACAGGGGGGATAACAGAAAATAGAGAATTGTTGAAGATTTGTTGACAGAAAACTTCCCTGATATCATGAAAGATGAGAAGATATCTGTCCAAGATGATCATAGAACCCCACGTAAGGTAGATACCAAAAGAAAGTCACCAAGACATGTTATAATCAAACTTGCCAAATCCAAAGATAGAATTTTAAGAGTGGCTAGGGATAAAAGAAAAGTCATCCACAAAGGAGAGTCAATTAGAATAAGCTTGGAATACTCAGCAGAAACCATACACCATACAGGCAAGAAGGCAATGGGATGACTTATATAAAGCCTTGAAGGAAAATAATTGCCAGGCAAGAATTATATATCCAGCAAAACTGTCTCTCAAACATGATGGCAAAATTAGGGCATTTGCAGATAAACAGAAGTTTAGGGAATTTGCAAAAACCAAACTAAAATTACAAGAAATACTAAAGGGAGTCCTCCGGATAGAAAATCAATAACATCAGATAACAACCCAAGACTAGAACATAGGACAGAGCAACCAGATATCTACTCAGATAGTGAAGTCACAAAAATAAATCAAAGCTGAAACATTGAAAATAAGGAAACAGATATCATCAGTATGTAAAAAATGACAACATTAAAACAAAAAAGAGGGACTAAAAAAATGTAGACATAGATTTTTCATATGGAGGAGAAGTCAAGGCAATATAAAGAAATAAAAGACTGGTATAAACTTAGAAAAATAGGGGTAAATATTAGGGTAACCACAAAGGAAACAAAGAATCATACAAATCAAAATGAAAAACTAGAAAACTATAAAGACTAAGCAAACACAAAATCAACAATGAAAAAGATGAAAAGAAAATACATAAAGAAAACGACTCAGCGCAGAAAAGTGGAACAAAGAAACTGAACAACACACAAAAAAAGAAATCAAAATGACAGCACTAAACTCATACCTATCAATAATTATGCTGAATGTAAATGGACTAAATGCACCAATAAAGAGAGAGTGGCAGATTGGATAAAAAA